TCAATTTTTTATCAAAATCCAAAATATTTTTCTTTTAAAGAATTATACACAATAATTGAGTCTCTTTTTTTTTTTTTAATTTTATTTTACTTAAATTTTGGGTTGGACGTGGATGTTAATGGTTATCCACATCACTCGTTTCTTCACTTTACTTTATGGCATTTAATTAATATTTTTTTAAAAAAAAAAAAAGAAAAAAGAAAGTCCAAGCATTTGACCCAAGCAATAATAATAATATAAACTTATTTATGAAATATTGGTATTATTTAATAATAGAAATTCATTAATTGCATACTTTTGGTATAAGTATGATCGTTGACCACCACCGTGCATAATTTCGGCCCAACAGTAGAACCATTTACACGACAATTTTGGGACTTCTTTTTATTCTTATTTATTTATTTATTACTAAAACCACAAAAGTTTTTTGAATTTGAAATGCTTAATATGTTTTTATATATATATATATATATATGTAGTTGTATGATCATCATCCAACTAAATGGTGTAATAGATATTTAAATTAATAAAGCTGGAGACGATAATCTAATTGTTAAGTAAAAATAATGAAGATTTAGTAGTTAATCAAACAAAAAGCAACTTACTTAAGTTTTTAATTAACTAAAAATATCATTTAACGATAAGTTGTACGCATCAAATTACACCATGGAAATCTATTCCTGTCCCACCGATCTTTAATATAATTTCTGACCATAATCATATTTTATATTTAATTTTTCAATTTATTTAATTTATAATTTTTCATTGGACTTTAATAATTGATATATAAATCAATAATAATAAAATAGAAAAAATATTTTTAATAAAATCGAAAGATTTATCCTTATAAAAAATAATTATATTCTTATCACAAAAATAAATAGATTAAATTCGCTAATAATATAAGTTACGAATCTTAATATTATCATCATAATAAATAGATAAAAAATTTACTTATCCAAAAACCATAACATATTTAAAAATATATATATGTATATGTATATATAATTAGATGTCAGGGCACTAGCTAAAAGAATAATAGTAATAGCGCATAATTTTCTTTATAAGCATTTTGATAAAGAATAAAATAATTTGGAATTTGAGAGATTAAGAAAGTGACTACCAATTATATTCATATCCACCTTTCAAGAGAAAAAAAAAAAAAAAAAAAGATTAAATACGCGTCCAAATTAACTTGAGACGTACCCCGTCCACTTACGATTTCAAAAGAATATATTTATATATATATATAATTTTTTAAAACAAATGAATTTGGGTCAAAATATATGTAATGTACTCAATTGATTTACCAATTATCAAATATTATTTCGCTAATATTGTAATATCATATGATTGGTATTTACTGTTTTGGTTTAATATATATATATATATGTCATTATATGTAAATTTCTTTATTCGTATTATCACAAATTAATTAATTAATACAAATGTAAGCTAAAATTGCTATCATTATAATATTAGCAATGGATGAGAGGTACGATAGACAGAGGAAATCTGTTGTATATTTATTTTTGAGAAAATATTTACATATTGAACTATATAATTTTAATTTTTTAGTTTTAAATGATTAAAATCTAAATTTTATAACTTAGAATACTGTTTAATTAAATAACTTTTTTTTTTTCGAGCCATGAAATCTTTTAACTATATATATATATATATTTATAAAGGGGAATCGAATCTCGTTTGGTTAATTAGGTCACGGAGTTGGAGTATTTGTAAACCATATGATATAAAGTAAAAATCATGTTTGATATCAATTATTAGTTCACATCACATGTACACGCTAGTCGATGACACTTTTATATATCAAACACATACCATGATGATTATTGATTAATTTCGTAATTAACAAACTACGGATTCCTAATATCCTATGCATACACGTATACATACATATATATATATACATGTATATTTCCTTCAATTTGTAACCCTTTTAATCAAAATTTAAGTGCTATAATTTCCTTAGTGGGAAATTGATTGATTTAATTGGGAAAAAAAAAAAAAAAAAGATGACAAAAGGAAAACAGAGATGGAATGAAGTATTGGGTGATGCCTGCGGCATGCTTTGGCAAAATAGGCGAAATATCGCGTGTAAAAGGCGCGTGGAATAAATGATTAAATCAAATGTCAGCCCTGCCCCACATGAAGGAGACCGATTGACCCCGCCGTCAACGTCCAAACCCAATTTCTTTCTGCGAAACCACTCAGCTCTAATTGCTTTCTGCAAAACCACTCAGCTTCTAATTGCTTGACGCCGTTAACAACGGCCATTCTCGCCTTGTAATCCTAAAAAACCTAAATAATTTTTTAATTAAATAAAAAAAGATAGAAGCGTCACGTTCTCTTTCAAGTAGGCCCCACCTATCCTCGCGCACTACGTAGTAGCAGGGAGCACAAAAAGGCCCCCCCCCTCCCCAACTGAACTGACACGACCACGGCACCACGTGATTTTTACACGTGTATCGGGCCCCACTCCTGCATAAGTACCACCATACTGCGTTTTTGCTGTTCTTGGGCCCCACCTACCATGTGATATTTACACGTGTTCAGATCCCCCGTTTTGTTTGGGCCCCATCCCCACCTTGGAGGCCGTTCGGCTCCCTTTTACCGACACAAGTTTTTTTTTTGGACCTTTTATTTTTTATTTTTACCAGCAGCCGTTATATAAGGAAAAAAAATAATACGTATTAAATCTTTTTTTTTTTTGAATTCTTAAATTTTGATTTATTTTAAACTAAAATTCAGATAATCACGAAATAAAACTCGGTTGTTTAGTATAATTGTGAATTACTAATATAATTAATGATTTTAGAGGGTAATTTAATTTTATTTACGTTACAGGAAGTTGGCAGCCTCGTGGGGGTAGCTTTAAGATTAAATAATACAAATTAATAAATAAAAAAGGTGGTTTATCTCGATGAGTCACGTATTACTGCAAACAAAATAAAAAATTAAGTTGTTAATATCGGTGCATGATAGGATTTAAGAATATAATTTTAGAAAAATATTAATCGAATATGACCCTATTAATTTTTTAATTATATAATTAAAATATCATGAATGCCTAAGCCGGCGAATAACGATATGGACAGGCGATTACTTAGTAAATTAATACTAACTATTAGTAATAAAAATCATATATAATACACCTCGAATACTTTGATGTAAGCGTATCAACAGACAATTATGCATTTTTATAATCGTACACACCTGAAAATTGTTAATTAAATCATTCTTGATTAAATGTTAATCCAACTATTTATATATACATATATATAATTTTTTTAGTATAATAAATCAATAATTCTTTTTTTTTATTTTTTTTCAAATTTAAGATGGTGAATTGGAATATTTGCAAGGCATAAATTACTCCTTTTAAAACTCGTGTCGTCGTTGCAACTGAGTGGTACTGTCCGTGGCGGGCGAGTAATTGAAAGAGAGGAGATGGTGCCAAATAATTGTACTTAAAAAGTTTTTGAAATTTAAAATATCCTTTTTAAAAATTTAAAACAAAAATAATAATTCGAAAATACAAGACAGGGGGGAGGACAGTTAAATCCTCATGAGTTGGGTGGGTTAGCAGACCACAAAAAGCAAAAGTTGATGGATAATTTGGAAGATACATACATACATATACATATATACACACACACACACACACACACACTAATTACTTACAAATATCTATATATGTAATATAGGTATGAGGATTCTTGCTTTTGCCTTATCAGTGTTCAGTACTATATGTCCATATAAATATATAACTTTTGAAGTGTACTGGGTTGTAAGTATTGAGTTAATGATATAGCTACAGGACATGGGTGTATGTATTGATTTTAATTATAAAGTTGGTTGACATGGGATTAGAGCAGACAGTATCTATGTAAGTACTTCCAAAATAAGACTTGAAACCAAGTAGACTTGGTGCTATAAATGACACTAGAGATAATGAACCCATTTAATTAATCACATCAATCTTTACCAAAACTACATAAGTTTTAAAACATTTATTAGAATGTGTACTTACACACCAAATTATTGTGATGCAATTTTGGAGTATCGCACTCTTTTAGCTATTACAAAAACAAACCTACCTAGTGGAGCATATGGGTCGAACCTCAGCTAATGACATGATTTAGAATGTTTCTTACAGAAGATGTTGGAAAAATCTATTGTGCTACGTACCCATTCGCTTGACAACATTGTAATATTTTGAGTTTTATAATCTTATTATTCATTAATTTACTTGTCAACTAATTACTTCACTATCAATATCAGAGAAAAATAAGTTATTATTATTATTATTTTTTTTTAAACGCGCTTTCTTCTTCTTTGCAAGTAGTATCTTGTATGTGCTCTAATAGTGCTTATATACACATTGCTCTCATCGCACATGTCTTCCTCATTTACATGAGCTTTCTTTATTCATAGTGCTCGTGTCATCACCAAGTAAGTTTTCTATTTTATTTATTATTATTAAATTATTCAAATTCGTAGTTTATAAGAATCGTAATATGTTTATGAGAGATATATATACTAAGAGATTAGAGATACAAAGAAGTTAAAGAAAGATAAACAAAATTTTCACAAGTGAAGTAATTTGAACGTTTTCGTAATTATTTTTTTGATTAGATATATTAAAAATAGATTTTCTCAAATATATTAATCAAAACTCGTATAAGTATAGAATATATATACATAAAAAGAATCTTGTAATCTTTTTAGAAGTTAAAGAGGAAATTTTGGAGGAAAAAAAAAAGACAATTATGTAGAATTTGATGTATTTTCTAATAATTGAAGGGACATTTAAATACTTTTAAATCTTATTATAAACGTACACAGCAAAGTAGGGAGGATAAACGATGGATGGATGGGGACGGTTTAACCCTATAGAAAAACTGCGGCGCGTGTGATAGCAGAACTGCTGGGCGAGAGTGGAATTGAATTCTGAAATATTAACAAGGACAGGAGGACACAGGTTGGCACTGCGCAGTGCCGTACTCTGGAGAGCGGAGAGTGGTGGCACGCGCCAAATGATTTTGCCTTTTATCTTGGGTGGAAATGGAATGGAAGCGGACCCCACCGTTATCTGCTGAGGTACAAGTGTTGACTGCATTCCCGCATTATGACAGATTGTTAATCTCTGTTTCGCAAAATATATATATTTTTTAATTTGGTTATTTTATTTTGTTTTATTCAAAGTTTTATTTAATTACAAAATAAAAATGATAATTTTCAGATTATTCAATAATTAAATATATTTTTTGGGAATTGGACTGACCCAATAACCCACTAGCAGTAATTCTAATGGATTGTCAAGTTAAATATTAGTTTGCAAAATAATAATAACTTAATATTTAGAAATATCAAAAAACTGCACGTGTAATTTGGTTGAAACATTCATAATTGATTTAAGTTAAAAATAACACTTATCTCTTAATAATCAACTTTTTAGCTTTCTCAAAATGATGATTTTGTTTTGTTCAAACTTCAAATCCTACATTTTTTACCGTGCCTTCCTTCCAATTATAATTTCACCACTCTTCCCCCTCCTGCTTCTTCTTCTTCTCTTTCTTTTAAATAAATTAATTGTCTAATATCTTTTAATTCAATGGTTATTAAATTAATTTCTGACTCTTCTTAAAAAAAAAAAAAAAAAAAAAAAGGATTTGTACAATCTATAATCTTTAGTTTTTTAAATTAAAAAAATAGATTTGTGGGTGAGTAAAATATTTATTTAGTTGCTTAAAGAGAGAGTAAATAAATGTTTTAGTGTTATTATTTAATTTTCTTTTGTGAAATAATTAGATTCATGAATCTCCTCCTTCACTTCCCCTCTTTCTCTTCAATCCCATTCAACTTTTCCATGCTTGTGTTTGTCTAATCAAATCCGCTACATTGTTTTGCTCATCTATTTTTTTTTTTTTTTCCCCCAAGTAAAACTACTACTTTTATAAATATTAGTTGGGTGGATAGATAAGTGTATTCAGTTTTATTGTTAATTTGATGTTTGCTTTTGTTGTGTTTAATCACGATTCGTATTTTTGTTGCATATGTGTGTCCACCTCATACATATTTTAGTTTAATAATTATAAAGTTATGTTAAATTATTGAGTAAGAAATGAAAAAACCGTTAGTACAGTAGTTTAGTTTAATATACTTGTATTGTACTTCAAAATTACAACTTTATATATATATTTATTACAGATCGGTAGTGATCGTTCCCTATATGTTTTATTTGGCCAGATTTAAAATTTAAGACTTATTTTATAATATGTCGGTGGATTATAACGAGTTAAATTGAATTTCGTTCGTAAAGTCATCATAATGTTTATAGATAAATAAATAAAAAATATTTTTTTAAAAAAAATTAACATAATTTTTATTTTTTTTTTAAAAAGTAAGAAATTAGGAGAACACCAAATTATTTGAATTGGCTTTAAATTATGATTTTATTTTTATTTACTTTTTTTTTATTATTTTTCTATAAAACTATAATGTAAATCCAACTCAACCTAGAAATTAAACATAACTAAGTAGAAAGGAACACCCTCCGATTCACGTAGTCAGGGAAAATAATTATTGTTTTCATTTCGGTAAGTAGGAATTTTTAGTAATTTTATGATTTTATGAGTCAATATATTATTATCTTGAATACAATTAAAATTATTATTCAGTACACCAATTAATTATTATATATTGAATCATGGCACGCCCTCGTGCTCTGTAAAATTGTAGGCTTAAAATTCTCGTCTCACAAGTTGTCAATATATAATGGCAATTTAAGATTTATTTTTAATTTTGCACGAAAGGAAAAATGAATAAAATTAAAGTTATCCCAAAATTTATAACGTAATTTTGTATTTATTAAATTTAATAGGTAAAAAGGAATTACTTTCAATAATTTTTTATTTTTATTTTTTTTTTAAAAAAGATTAAAATGGAATGATGGAATTATACAAGTATGAAAGGAGAGGATTAGTTGGAAGAGAAGAGGTAATGGTAATTATGGACTACTTTTTTTGGGCGCATGCATATGATAAAGAAGGACCCACACGAGGACGCAGTGAAATCTTAGTCTCCACCACACCCATGTGCATCATTATAATGTTCCAATTCCTCTTACGCACACATATAATATATGTACATATAAATAGTGTTTTTAAGCCGCAAATTTGAAGGAATGAAGGAAGAAAATCACATGGCTAATTGGGGTTGTAGCAGGTGGGTCCGACATGCAAATTTTTGTTGATGTTGGCGAAGCAGGTTGTATGTAGTTAAAGAATTAAGATAGAGACAGCGGAGAGTATTTATTTGTTTATCCTCAACGCAGCTTCTTCTTACCTTCCATCGCCATGTGATTTTCCGAATTTCAGATTAATGATGATCTAAGCAATTATCATTCTGGCTACACCTCTAAAATCTCAACCCATCACGTAATTCTACTCAAGATACATGTTTGACCTTTTCATTTCAACTATACTTCACTTCATTTACTCCCCCTCTTGAAAGATCAATTCGCCAATTAAATTTATTATTGACTTCAACCATTAACTGAACTCTGAATTATTCAAGTGAAGCTGGATTTTTAATTAATGAGAGTCAAATAATGGGTAATTTTTTTAATTGAATTTTTTAAATGCTATATTCGGATTTTTTTTTTTTTTTTTACTATTATTATCTTATGATGATAATAATATATATATATATATATATGTATGTATTTTTTGTGGATAAGGAAGATGAGGGAATGGGATAATGTTGATAACTTGGATCGAAACTGATGATGTTGAAGCAACATGCCTTCACGTGGCTTAAGAACACCATTAACAGCTTTTGGAATTATTGCTTCACCTCCTCAACATCAGGTCCACTGCAATCCTTTCTCTTTTCTTTCAGTTTTCTGTTTAAATTTTATTTGAAAACACAAACGACAAACCCTAAATTGGGCCTCAATTCACTTTCTGAATCGTTTTTCATCCAAGCCTGACCCGGTTAATACTGAATTCGCTCTGCTTATTCTTTCATACGAAGTCAAAATTTATTTGGAAAATAAATGTGCAGCAGACTAAAAGTCATTTTAGAATTCTATATTCTAAAGTGGAATCATGGTGAGTTCTCCTGTTCTTGTGTCATGAATTTGGATGTACTGGTGTTAATGGACTTAGCCTGGCATCCATATTTCTCAATGCAACTACAACATAAATGCCCTCCCCCCGAAAAGAAAACACCAGGTGCCTGGAAATTCAATAATTGATGCTGAACTGTAAACTCACACTTGTGGATTCTTCTCAGGAAAAGAAAAAAAAAAAAAAGAAAGTCTTTGGGATAATTATCATTGTCTATGGTACAAAATTGTGAAATAATTCCGAATACATCATTCAA